ATATAGTACATGTACATATGTATACACATACATATGTTGTGTATCTAATATAACAATGAAGTTATTTTTAGTAAACCTTTGTAAGCAATTGGAGTCAAAATGGTTGATAAAACATCAAGAAACCTCGCCAAATTTTTCAACTTGGTTTACTCTCTCTCTTTCGCTCGCGTTTCTTTGAGCGCCAAAGCTTTCAATTGTGGCTCTTCTTACGCACTACATTCAACTTGATTTTATGCCGCTGTTGATTTACAGCATTTGACGCGCAAGCGGCAACCGGTCCTGTGGCGCAATGGATAACGCGTCTGACTACGGATCAGAAGATTCCAGGTTCGACTCCTGGCAGGATCGCAAAACAACATTTTTTTTGTAATTTGTTTTAAGTTTTTTATAAAACATATTCTTTTACTACTATTTTATATGGACAAATAGGTTTTCAGTGTTAATTGTGATTTATACTTTAATCCCTACTTTCATTTTATTTATTAAGTTTTTATTTAAATTGCTTCATTTTTATATTACATTTTGTTTATTTTTATACTCTTTTTTACATTTATACACTTTTTTATTTTGTAACATTTTTTTAACCTGTTGATATATTTTAATTTATTTTTTAAACTACATACATACATGCACTCAAAGGTGAATTTTAGCCAAAACACTTATGGCCTTATTCATAAGCTTTAGTAGCTTTATAAAAGGTTTATTAATTGAAAAATGTATGGAAACGTAAATTTATAAAGCTCTTTAAACCTACTTTATTTTTATGAATAAGGCCATTAATTTTCAGGAAAGCGGTTTTTGTGTTGTAAAATATGAACTATATACTTTTGGTTTCAGTAAAAATTAGGCTGCTATAAGCCTCATAGAAATATTAAAAAGTATTTAAAATTGTGACTGGTAGGACAGGTTCGTGTGACTGGTGTAAAGTGATTATGTATGAAGTTCCATAGACAAAAATTACAGCTTCACTTTATTTTTTTAATATTTATCAACAGATTAATGTAATGTAGTCATTCAAAAAGAGGTTACTACTGAAATCAAGCTAATAGGGCATATTAAAATTTATGCCGTTTTCCTCTATTATATGAAATTACCCCACTGTTTATATCTCCTATTTCCTACTTTTTCCGGCAACTATCCAGAAAGCTATTTTCTGTCTTTCGAAAGCCTATTTGGAAGATCTGCTGGCGCAGACGTCTTGACGTTATTCTGTTTGCTTTTTACCAATAAGTTTTCTAAACGTAGCAATAGAAAAAACACTAAAATTATGGCACAGAGAGTATTTTTGTATATTTCACGAAAAATCGGACTACGATGGATTCAGTGACAACCCTGAATATAAATGATTTATATAAAAACAAAATGAACTAAAACAAGTGAGAAAGTCTAAGTTCGGGCGGAGCCGAACATTAAATACCCGGCGCAAGTATTAAATATATGTTTTTTCACCTTTCCGAAACCTACCGCTAGATGGTAAGCCGGAGTGTATCAATTTTGAGTAAATTAGCGTCCTTAAATTTCGAAATATTGAAGTTTCAAGCATTTCTCAAATTTACCGACATATGAAAAGCGACCGTAATTTTAGTCCGATTTCAATAATTTTAAACGTTTTGCTTTTATGTGGCATGCACAATAAAAATACCGAGTTTGGTACAAATTGGTAGAACGGTTACTGAGATACATATATGTGATCATAAGTGGGCGGTGCCGCGCC